GTTTAAGAAATGCATTTATTTAAAAAAAATTCTCAAAATGTTCACCTCCCCTGATTTGGATCAGAAATTACACTGAAATATCTCCAGCCATCTCAATACCTACCACGTGATTTTTAAATAGATTGAGCAGGTTCTGCATAAAGGACTTTGATGACATCAGAGAGGCTTTATTGAGCTGTTCCTGTCGCAGGTCGTAGTCATCATGCATGGGCTGCATCAGGGCATTGAGCATGTCTATGGCGGCATGGGCCACACCATCATCGTTTCTCTTTAGTGCCTTGACTACTTTGATACCCACTCTTTCTCTCATCCTAAGGCAGAAAAATAAAGCAATATCAATACTTTGGCCTTTTGTCAAAAAAGTAAGCAACTTGCTCAGAATGTTAATACTCGCACAAGAATGTCCATAATTTTCCTATGTACGTTTTTTAACTAAACTGTCATCCCCAAGTCATCTTACTTTCACATCCCAGTAAAAGTCTAATATCTTTAAGTCAACTGATTTTTAATTAAAGTCCCTGAAGCTGTAATAAATTATTCTACTTATTTGGGCAACCTAGTAATCGCCTGAAAACTGTACATAAATATTATGTCGATTTATTATAAAACCGTAGTTCAAGCCTTCGGGCAATAATAACTTATTCCACTTACTTTGGCAGTCTAGTAAAAGCCTGAAAGCCAGCCTTGGAGGCCACAAGTCTCCTCAGAGCATGGAACTGAGCTTCTAGATTCTCTGAGGAAATGATGGCTTGGTCACCCTCCTTATCCAGCAGTGCTGACAGGGTGCCGTTGATCAGTTTTTCTTTGTTCTCGGCAAACAGACCCTATAAAATGGTCCAAATGACATCTTTATAGTAGTCCAATGGCCATAGTAGTTATCAAAGAACCATTAATGGTGAATCATGTAGATCAAATAATAATAATAATAATAATAATAATAATAATAATAATAATAATAATAATAATAAATATATATATATTCACATGAGTCAAATACACTTACACAATTAATACCAAATATTTTGGATGTACTAAGAAGGCACCTCTCACTTCTTTACTTACGTCTTGTGTGACAGCATGCAGGAGACCACTGTAAGAAATGTTAGAGTTGAACCTCTCCACAGCCATCTCAAAGTTAATATTGGGGGGAGGACTCTGGATAAACTTCATGTGCTGACTCTCCACTTCCTCATCAACAGGGACTGTGAAGGGACCTAGTGCAAAGTAGATCAGTTAAGATAAAGATGTATTGGTATACAATAAATAAATAAAAATAATCCTGGAATTTCAGCAAGTTTCATCTTATCACCAAGGTGTATCCTGTCCACAACCTTTGAAAAGATTATCATTTATAAGCCAATTGCTAAGTTCTAAATTTCTGATTTTTACTGTCAAGATTGTATTGCACCAGCTTGCTCCATTTTGCGACTGGCTCAAAACAATTTCTGGAATGTAATTCTGTGGCATACCTTCATGATTAAGGTATTAAAATTCATATTTTGCTATATGAATTGTGTATCTTTAAGCAGGAAGTTGACTGTTTATAAAGCGATTTAGCCCAAAACTTTTTTCTCAAGGCAGAAGCTCGTTTTCTTATGGGTTACAATTAAAAATAACAATATATATGTAAACCATACCCCAAATGTACATCTGCTTACCCATTATTGCGAATTCTCAGTTGCTTCTTATGCCAACATAATAACCAATAATAATAATGATGATGATGAAATTTTCACAATGTGATCAGTGTATTTCCCAAGCACACCAACAGAGACCTTATTCACTGACACTCACCTAATCGTAATCCCCTGCTGGTAAATTTCATTTTCACATGGACATCCCTGTTGCCAGAGGCCCTTACACCATCCAGAACAGAGGCTATCAAGGCATCTCTGAGGATTAAGAATGAAAAATAAATTGATAGATAAAATAAACAGATAATTTACTTTTAATTTATGACAAATGAATTTCCAAATGACTTAACAAAGGACTTTTCAAGACAATTCTCAACACATTTGCACAGAATCTGTCTACAAAAGTAACACAGCTAACATTTTAGTAGTATCACATCAAATCAAATGAATAATTATAATTATCTACTCTTACAGCACCTGCTGTCGTCATCTCAAGAAAAAGGAGTACCTGTCAGTGGATGTGAATGTTCGTATTGCACCCTTCACATATTCAACACTAAATTTTTGTGGGTTTTCTTGATCTCTGACTATGGCAAACACCTGGAATAACAATAATAATAATAATAAGAAGAAGAAGAAGAAGAAGAAGAAGAAGAAGAAGAAGAAGAACAACAACAACAACAACAACAACAGCAATAACATTTACTATAAAATAACCCAAAACAGAGTTTTCAAGGGTCTGGACATTATTTAAGAGTTACACTCTTAAATAAAGTCATTATTCTTTCAGCCAAACTGAAGTTCATGAGTAACTGAATAAATACAGTAAAATGAAATCTCAAACCATATCAAGAACATTTCGTATAAAACAGTCACACATTTTTTTATTTTCAGCCAAATCGCAATTTGTTTAAAATTGAACTAAAAGCTACTATCCAATACTGAGCAAAATACAGCCATCTCATTTCCACTTACATCACACAGAGGTTTTGCTGTGACAACATTATAGGTGGCCGGGTCTCTCTCCACCAGACACGTCTCTGTGAGACACAGGGTCCGCCTAATGGGGTCTGGGTTCCTTGGTGTTAGTTTATACACACTGAACTCTGCATATGACGTAAGGGCCTCGTCGGTACTGAAAATTGGTAACAGTATTGAAACATTATGACCAGTATATAATAACACTGAAAGACATTAATAAATAGCTAGAGGTATAGGAATATCTTAGTGCTCATTCCTAATAAAACTATCATTCTACATAAACTGATCCAACTCTGCAGGGAGTTAAGACTGATATTATAGTCATTACAATATTTAATTACTGATGTTACAAAAGGAATAGAGAGCAAACTACACAACTAGACAGTAACATCCCTCACTACTAAAAGTGATAGGCAGAACTAGAAGTGTAATCTGGGTGTAAGCCTTAAATAATGAATAAATGTTATTATTATTATTATCTTTAGGGCAAATTGCCATATTGTAGCTGTTACCTGTATTTGCCCATCTTGTGTGCTGTGGCCTGATCTATTGTTATAGGTTCCTTCCTCTGTTTGATGGCAATGCCAATATAGTTTGCTGCTGTCTCCATCACACTTTTGATCAGTTCATCTCTTTGTTCAAGGGCAAATATATGCTGAAAAAATTAACAAAAAATAAAAAAGTCTTGTCACTCAAAACAAAACAAAACAGTTATGATAATCACAACAATTACTTATCTAGTGTAAAAGTTGATTACTACTTTTTCTCTGTATATATGTCATATAATACACTGCAACCCTCTTGCAATATATGCCTTGAACTTCTCTGCTGACGCTAAAGGCATTCTGGCATATATCTCTCTGCTGACAGTGCATTATCTCACACATAAAAGATAATTATACACATGCAGTCAATCCCACTTACCAGTCTATTGTATCCCCCATGTATGACAGCCACCCCCCCTGGGTAGTCTGAGATGACAGCAAACCCCTCCATGTCCTTGTAGTCATAGGAGACCAGTTTGGTGCCTGTCTTGGGGTCCACTTGATCCAGTGAAGACTGATTTACTTGGAGTAATGTGGGTATTCTGTTGTCTGACCAGTGGTATTTGTAGGCATTAAACCTCTGGAAAAAAACAAGTCTCATCTTGTATCATAATGATGAATCTTTATCAACTATTTATAGTATATCTAATGGAATGTTAGTAATTTGCAATTGTCACTCAACTTCAGGTGCAGATGTACAAAAATGATGTACGTATTTTTCTTTTGCACCAGCTATTACAGAAATAGTAACATGCGCACACACACACACACACACACACGCAAGTGCATCTCACTTACTTTGGATTGAAAATCTTTTCCAGCAAACTGATTGGCAAATCTCTGAAATAATTGTAACATACACATGAGTATTAACAGCATAGTTGTATAAACTCATAAATCCAAAAGCGAAGGCTGATACATTTCCCTTAAAATGATTTTGGCTGATAAATACCTTTAATACATATGACTTCCTGCATACATAGGTTTTATTTTTACTTTCAACATATTCTACTGATAATTATTAGAAAAATCTAATAAATACATCATATAAATGATCCATATGTCACTTTTATTTCTACTGATTACACAGTAACCCATCTCCTTATAGATTAAACTAGCAATAACACCATTTGTATGCCTTATTGGTCCCTTATATTACTTTTAATGTCCCCTTCTACTGACAGCACTGATTAACAAGCTGACTTCTTACCAAAGCCTCAGTCAATACATCTGCTCTGTGATCAGTGGAAAACTTCATGGTGTCCGTTTTCTTGGGCCCTTTTTTCATGGTGATCAAGAATTCATTGAGGGTGGGGGCTTTGATATTGGGTGTGATACTAATAAATTCACTGTATGGCCACTGGAATAAATAATTAAATAATAATTTATAATAATGTCTGCAGATAGATTTTGTAGTAACTTAACTGATGAATTTTTCTTTTAATGATGAGAATTTATTTCACGAAAATTTAGTCTCAATAATAAAGAATTTCACTCTCTTCATTCTATTACTGAACTATGAAGTTCATTTTAAAAAATACTTTGGCATTAAAGAGAAAAGTTCATTTTTAAAGAGGGTTTTTACATGTCTTTTCATATTCTTTATATGCCCAACCCCTTCCTTCAATCCTTCAATTTCCAAGCCTCAGTATCTGCCCGTCTTACCTGGTTGGTGACCTCCAGAGTGGCAGGGTTGTATGTTGTTATACCCAGGTTACCCACGGAGAAGACTCTCTTGTATCTGATTTAAAAAAATGATAAATTTCTTAAGCAGGTATCGGTACATAAATGAAGTGAATTTTTTAAATCTTGTCTTACAATGACAAGAGTTCTCTACCTTGTAAATACTTTTTTTGAACAATATAAGAGGCAATGCTTTAGAAAGGGTACTACATATCCCATTTCATTAAACACCTTAAAACTAAAAAAACTGCAAAGAAGTTTGTTGTATGAACTATTAAATTTAAAATGTGCTTACTTTCCTTTCCAGGAATGCTTTGTTACAAAGTAACAAGCAATATCCTCATTTTCTTTCATAGCTGCATTCGTTTTTGTAGCCATTTTTTAATACTGAAATAAAACAGACAAGCATGTAGATAATGAGTACAAAGTTTATCAGATGAAAGTGGTACAGATAAGGTGATATTTAGGTTTCATGACACTAATAATCATATTCATTCATTCAATTCAACATCACTTAATAGATTATTGTTTGACTTTAATTAATAGAGTTAACCACCTGCATTAATGTTTTTATCAAAATTATCATGGCAATCCAATCAGAAATTGATATTGAACATACCGGTAGATAAATATGACTGTAACAGTTTTTCCCTTTCGTTATTCAGAAGGCTCAAACCCTCACTAAATTTTTGGATAGATTAGTGTGTGTATGTCCATGTGCGAGCAGATCAGATGTTTGGAATTAAAGCATCTAAATCTTTTTTAAAACTTGATCGATAGGTGAGCTAATATCTAAATCTTTTTTTTTTTTTTGCACACTTGCATATTCTGCTTCCAGTCTATTTTTCTATCATCAAATATGTCGTGGCCTCTTAAGGCCCTATCTGTGACAAAAACTTTCAGTTTTCTTAAGTGTGGTCAGCTGAAGGTAAGAGGTAAGGGAAAAGAAATGTGTTGGTGTCAACAGTCCCCCTACAGAACAGCAATGGCAGGTCCTTATAACAGAATGTTCCCCTTCCAAACCTTGCTGTAGCATAAAAGCAAACTCAAATAATATAGAGGGGGAATGCAACAGACTAACCATTCAGAGTAACATGAAAAGTTTGGTGCCTGTTGAAATATATTTTAAGAAGCAATGAGGTGAAACACTAAGAATTGTAGCCTTAGGTGTGCATCAAAATATGGCATGCATTGTGTTTATAAGGTCTAATATAGATTACTAAAAACAAGCCATTTCCTAAGGTTGAAACTTCGATGAAATTACATAAATATTGAGGAGTGTTTCACACAAACTTTCATTTAAATAACGGATGTGCATTCAACTTCATTCATCATTCTGCCTGGCAAATCTTTATCATCACAGCAGTAACAAGGTAGAGAAGCAATGGGTTCTCCTGCCACTGATATATTTTTTCTTTGTAAAGAGCCGCAGGGTCTGCAGGATATGTACACACACGGCCGGGGGGTCTTAAACCATATTTCCGGGTCACATGATAGATATCTACGTGCGTCGCTGCTTAAACCGGTGTGATCCGTTAACGCATTGACGTCCATTAAACAGGATCATTTCCCCAGCTGGTAATCACATACCTAGTTGCTAGCGCAAGAAGAATCCAACAACCTTTCTGTTTTCTATGTTAAAAGTCACAGTTTCTTCTTAACGACGAGTTTCGCCGCTACGGTCGCTTCCATCTTGGATGGACTACATACGCATGCGTTATCAACTTCCTCCCATATCTCGCCAAGTCTCGCGCACTTGTCACCAAGAGCAACAACACGCTTAAAGAAGAGAACACGAGAACCACTTCGCCTCGTAGGACAATATATTCAACAGGTAATATTTTAAGAAATTGTTGACAATGGCAGTTTAACGAAAAAGTTTAACTCTACACATCGAATGTGACATTATCAAATACTTTGGCAATCATTTCTTCTAAGTTTATTTTTAATGCACCTCACTTGACGCCGTGTCTAATTTTATCGCACTGATTTATCTCACGCTCAGTTTCATGTTATTGTTTTTACTGAACAGTATCAGGCGAACTCAAGCGTTTGTCGAGGTTAGAAACGTTGATAATACTGTGTTATAATTGGGGCTTTCGTTTCCTTTTGGTCAGAAATTTGTATCATATTTTAATGCCCGTAAATAGTTTGTGTAGCCACTTTATCAAAATGCGCTTATTGCCGGGGTAAAGGACGCAAGATAATAGATAAATAGATATGCAGATACGTATGGCTTTCAGTGAATAATGTTATTAAGTGGTGTATTTCAATATACTGTACTCATAAACAAAATGTAGAGATTTTGAAATCTTGTTGATCTTCAGTGCTGGCATATCAACCTGAGTTAGCTACAAGTTGACTGTTAAAACATTTTCTTTACTTCTGTATGGGTAACATATGTGCTTGACATTTACAGACTTTTCATTTTGCATAATGCAAAACAGGCACCTTTTTTGGTTCCAACTGAAGTATTGTGGTTATTTCAAATTCAGACCCACTTAATATTTGCTCTCACTGAATGCCAAACGATCAAATTCCGTTTAATTATTTGCTTAATAAACATTAATCTTAGGGTTCAGGTATTGAAGTAAATACCTGTGCTCAGACATTTTTACCTTGTTAAAAGGAGCTGGCTGTCGAAATGAAATTTATTTCAAATGGCACTTGTCTCGAGAATGGAAATTGTTTTTCATTAAGTGGGATATTTTTATAACCACTTTAAGTACAATAATTTAATAAATCAGATAAACTCATTTGCTTATGCAGTAATAAACCTCAAGGTCTAGTGCAGCTGAATACATATCTGAGCTACTTAAACTCTCAAACTGAGTGTATTTTCTCTTTATATTTTTAGTACAGCTCTTACACTCTGTTGAAAGTTTTTTTTTTCTTTTTGCATTTTTTTTTTTTTTTGCTTTTCTATTCCCCCATAGCTAATAAGATTCGTCATCTAATTCCAGGACCCCATTCTCAACGAAGTCCTGATGTAGAAACAAAATTAAGGAGCCAACAGCAGCACCAGTTATAGATATGCCTGCAGAGATTTTGTCCTCCATGGCGACCTCTAGTCCAACCCAGCTGATTACCTCTGATGATGGCAAACAGTGTATAGACACACAGTCCAAGGGCCTCACAGCAATCCCTATAGATGTGTTCAATGCATCACATGTCCAGTGCCTTTTCCTCAGTGACAATGCTCTTACACAGATCCCGGCTGCTATAGCCAGTCTGGTCAACTTGGAGATCCTGGCTCTGAACCAGAATGCACTGAGTTCCTTAAGCCCATACTTGTTTGGTTTGCCAAAATTGCAGGTTTTAGATGTGAGCGAAAATGAGTTAGTTGAGATACCAAGAGATATTGCTGGGTTGAAGTGTCTGAGGCAGTTTTACGCAAATCGAAATCAAATTTGTGATATTCCACCAGAAATTGGGGGCCTTGAAAAGCTAGAATTTTTAGGCTTAAATGAAAATGGAATCAGAGACATTCCTGATGAGATATCCAAACTTAGTAATTTAAAGATACTTGGATTAGAACAGAACAGAATAGAGTTCCTGAATCCCAAAGTTTGTGAAATTGAGGGTCTTCTGAAATTGGGTTTATGTGGAAATCACATGACAAATTTCCCAAGAGAAATTGAAAATTTGATTTGTTTACAGGGTTTGTATTTAGATGATAATGATTTTGAATTTATACCCATTCAGGTATACAGTTTTGAGAATTTGATCGAGTTAACCATGTTTCACAACAAAATTACTGAAGTTCAATCTGATATTGGAAAATTGTCTCGGCTGAGGATTCTTTTGCTGAACAACAACCAAATCAAAACTCTCCCCCAGGAGATGTTTTTTCTTGAAAATTTAGACACCCTTTCCCTTGAAGGCAATCAGATCTCATGCCTCCCTGCAAGCATAGCAGAATTGTACAATTTGAAAGAGCTTCATCTGAGTCACAATGACATCTCAGTGATTCCTGATGAATTGTGCATGTGTTCAGAGCTGGATACCCTCACTGTTGATCACAACAAGATCTCGGAGCTCCCGCTAGAGATAGCCAACCTTAAAAAGCTCAATACTTTGTCCATGAATGACAACAAGTTTGAAAGAATCCCCAGGGCTATTGGTGCTGTCAGAGGGTTAGAAGTCCTAAGTCTTAGTGGAAACAAGCTGGTTGATCTCCCAGAAGAATTTAGCCAGTTGGAGAAGATTCGTCATTTGGACTTGAGTAGAAATGGAATGGCAGAGTTCCCATTGCCACTGACTAAGTTGTCACAGTTAGAATATCTAGACTTGCAGGAGAATGAGATCTCTTGCTTGCCAGATGAGTTTGGACAGCTTGTAAACTTAAAAGAGTTCAAAATCAATAAGAATAAACTAGACAATTTTCCTGAAGTGATGTGTGCCTTGACCAACCTGGAGGTACTCAACATGGCTGACAATGTGATCGTTGATGCACCAGAAGAAGTTTCAAACATGACAGGGTTGCGAGATCTGGATTTGTCCAACAACAAGTTTGAGATGTTTCCTACATCTGTTTGTGCCATCCCCAATTTGGAGCTTTTGAACTTTGACCAGGAGAATGGCTCAAAAGTCAGATGGCTTCCAGAAGAGCTTGGCCAGTCCAGCATTTGCCATCTTAATGTGCAAAACAACGAAATTGGTGGCCTTCCTCAAAGCATTGCCAGCATGAAGAACCTCCAAACCTTGGTGGCCCATCACAACAATATTATCTCCATCCCAGACTCCATATGTGAGATGAGACTACAAGTGCTACAACTGGACGACAATCAACTCTCGACACTGCCAGCAGACTTTGATCACATGACTGGCCTCAATGATCTACGCCTACAGAACAACCCCCTGAAGACTCCCCCCATGGACATCTGTGTTAGTGGGGTACTACAGCCTATTGGAAGGTTCCTCAGAAAGCACCTGGAACGAGAGGGTAAGAGGTGACCTGTATGGTTAATGACAATTATGGTTTTAATTTAGGGGGTCATTTTGTATTAAAGTACTCATTTTGCATGCATTTAAGTGTTTAGTGCAGTTTCAATTATTATACTATAAAAATTGTGAGTTCTCAGGATTTGTATTGTATTTCATTGATTTTTTTTTAAATAAAGAATGACAAAACCATACATTTTCAGAAACCAAATAAAGGAGCAAATATGTTTCTTTCTCCATTTCAAGTATTTTAAGACATAAATGAGCAAATACAAAGTTTAACCTGGAAAAAAAATAATTGTTAATTTTTTTTCCAGAACTGCTGCTGCAGAAGATGATTGACCACATTGTCAACACAATAGACAAGCAAGAGCTACGCCAACTATGGAGAAAGTTCCGCTTTGAAGCTGAAGTGATTCAAGAACTGGAGCAGCAATACAAGGGCAAGGATAAGTTGAAGGAACGCATTCTTGCATCGATGAAATATTGGAAAGAGCATAATGCCGAGGCGAGTTGCGACCTCCTGATACACATAGTGCGGGTGTTGGGGATGGAGACACTGCATAGTAAATTAAAGGCTATGAAGATCTACTCCCAGGCGTTAAGGTTATGAAATGAGAAATGTGTTTTAGTAGAGAAGGANAAGTTCCGCTTTGAAGCTGAAGTGATTCAAGAACTGGAGCAGCAATACAAGGGCAAGGATAAGTTGAAGGAACGCATTCTTGCATCGATGAAATATTGGAAAGAGCATAATGCCGAGGCGAGTTGCGACCTCCTGATACACATAGTGCGGGTGTTGGGGATGGAGACACTGCATAGTAAATTAAAGGCTATGAAGATCTACTCCCAGGCGTTAAGGTTATGAAATGAGAAATGTGTTTTAGTAGAGAAGGAAAAATGCAGCTGAATTATTTATCCATACCATAATAAAGCAAAGTAAATGCTATGAAGATCTGTTTCCAAGCAATAAAGTTGTGAAATTTCAGAGTTGCTAACTCTTTTCACACATTTCAGACATTTTGTCAATTGATAAAGGTTGCCTGCAAGTGTTAACTATGTTGTTAATTACACAATGAATGATAGATTAACACAAGTTGATTGCTGTGATGTTGTCTATCCTAAAAGTGAAAAGTGTGCTTCCACATGGTGAAGAAAGTGAATTGTAATGCACACTGAATTTAAAGCGATGACAATCTACTCATTTTATTTTTGAGGTTGTGAATTTTAATTCTTGACAGACTGAAATAAATATACTTCTGTTATTTAAAATCTGTGAAGTTCTACTTGGTTTCAAGGTTGTGAATTCTTGGCAAATTAACTGTCTTGTTTTTCCATGAGCTACATTATAATGCACATAATGTATGTATTTATTTGTTATTTATTTAGATCATTTTTTATCGCAGGTGTATAACACCCATTATTTCATATATATTTCACTACATGTTTTTTTTAATAGTTGTATTGCTGTAATGATTTATGCAGCAACAGTCTTCAACAAAGTCTTCAGAGGGCACTCTGTCATTATAGTATTGTGTATTTTTAGTCATATATCTATATGTTTATCTTAAGACATATAGGTGTCTAGTGTCTAGTCTGTTTTAGAAGCTCACAGTAGTATTGGGACATCTATTTTTATACCTGATATTTCATACTGAAAAGATCTGGAGTACTTGTTAAAAACGAGGGCATTTCCACTAAATATGGCAAAGTTCATGTGATCAGGCACATATGCTGCTTTACTCACAGGGTAAAGAAGATACTACCAATGAAATTGGTTCAAGAAATATACAGAAATATGTCATAATTTATGGAAATAGGGGGTGATGTTCATGCATATCATGACTTTATGCACTGAGTTGTATTTGTTCATTGCATTCATAATTTATGTGCCATCAAATGTCCTGAAACATGTAAAAGTAAAAAGTTGCAATAGAAATTGTAATAATAGATATAACAGGAGAGGGAGTGTGCATGTATTTGTGCGTCCTAGAGCATCTGCATGCATGTATGCGCATTTGTGTGTGTGTGTATGCAAATGGATGTAAACTGGATTAGTCCTTAGCAGTTCTAACAAATTGTCTACGCATTTATTGGTATGAAGTTAAATATAAATGTATGGTATTTTTGTACTCTAAATTAAATGTTTTCACATAAATATACATTTATTGCACAAATAAATAATAAAAAGGTCAATTTTTTTTTTTCCTTAACAGTGAAGAATGAAATTTCCCCGGTGCCTATAAACTGCATGATTTTACAATCGAGAGTTATTTCATTTGGAAATTGGAAATTTTGTGTAAGACATTGAATTCTCGCATATATTTAGTCCTCTCCCAACATTTCAGAAACATTCACCTAAGTCCACTCACTAACAGGCAGACGGGACAGAGAAAGAAAAAAAAAGATATCCTTCTTTGCGATAAACAGGGAAAGGAGTGGTTCCATATTTTTTCAACGCTCACTATGACGCTGTTCGGGTCGGCCTGCGAACCCGGTTCTTTAAATACAGATTGACGTTTCGGTTCTTTGAATTCAGTGAATCAAAACATTGTTTTCAAATCAGAAAAATCGAAAAAACTGACTACAAAGACAGTGGTTTATCTAGGGTATAAATGGCACATGTACGTGTCCTTGACTCCGTTTGAAGATAACGCGATTGAGATGTTTCTCGCCTTCTAGCGCAATAAGTACACTGTATATACACTGTTCCAATAAGAAAAAACTACCTAAACCCGTTCAGTTCTTGCTATAGTAACCTTTTCTCACTTAGATTGCAGTTTTATTTTAATTTTTTTCTTTCATTTTCTTTCACTTGAGAGAGATCCAGACCCTTTTAATTACAAATATTTTACGTCAAAATTTTGATACATGTATATACATATCAGAATTGAATACAGCCAATTATGAGAAACGAAACATACAGGCTCCAAGTTCATAACGGCACTAAATGTATTCTTAATGTGTAAATCTCTCACGCCAGAAATTTGCGAAGGTGTGTTGTCATGCTGTGCCACTGTGGCTACCTAAGACTACTGACAAAGAATTTGCTTAAAACGCTTCCCTCAGGCAAATACTGAAGCAGAGTTTGGCTGAAAGACAGGGTCTATTTAACAAACTTTCGAGGGTTTCAGTTAAAAACAAAGATTCTATCAACAAATCCAGTCAATGACCTTTGAAAATGTCACGTTATTCCTCAACTCTAGGTCAAGCACATTTGATTAATTGCACATTTGATTAATTTGAAATATTTTATTTACGCGTTGCTGCCAAGTAGCCTAAAGAGTGGCCATGGAAATACGCGCCGTAAAGCAGTATAGGCCTAGTGTACTGGTAAAAGTAAATAGTTTTTCTGGTGTAAAATGCAGTTCAATTATCTTTGCTATTCAAATATCTACGTACGTATTTTATCAAAAACATATTTTAAGGATCAGATAATAAAAAAGTAAACAATGAAAAACAATCTAAAAACAGAATCAGTGAAAATCTTATTTTTGGATGACTTTTCATTAAAACGCCTTTTTGCATGAAAAAGGACTCTCATTTGGCGGTTACCTGTAAGAGCCATGAGGGATTCAAGTTCATTTTACTGAATCCTCAGCGCAGAGCAGCAAGCAATATACATAAATGTGCTTTCAGGAAAGAGGGTAAATTTTCTCTGTGGATGTAGGAGGCATGTATTAGCACGTGGGTCCATGAACGTATCTGTCTATAGGCCTATGTAAGCCAGATAAAAGTATTGCAACGTCTTTGACTCTTTCCTGAATTGGTCAAAAGTTATGGGAAATTGCGCAATTTTTATAACATTTTATCATCGGTTCAAATTAATCCCCGGTAGGCCCTACTCCGAATTTTCTTCTAGATCTCTCCCTTAAAGTTCATAATCTGACATCAAAAGATTTATCAGCGAGGAATTTTGATAGTTAAAGTCCAATAGGCCCAATCTGAAAATTTTTAACATCAGCAGTTGGGTTTCGTTATTTCAAAAGTTTTTTTGGGAGCTGGCTTGGTTAATAGGTTTGGGAGCCCTCCCTTCCACCGTTTTTTGAGTACCGTGCTGCTAAATGGTAACCCCGGGCCCCTTTAAAACTGTTTCCTTTACGAACCCAGATAGATATGCGGTTAATAGTTATAGAAACATTGCGTCTTCTGAATGGTAGGCTTATCATTTAATTAGGCCTAGTATCCAGTTACAATATACCTGTATATTCTTCAGTTTCACCTAAATATCGTTATTTTTTCATTTTATTAAATTTAATTAATTAATTAATTAATTAATTATTATTATTATTATTATTATTAATGTTTTTTGAACGGTCGAGATAACAGTGTGGCGACGTGTAGGCTATTTTATTTTATTTTTCTAAATAGGGGGTTTTTAACATAATTACCTAAAATTTGCTGAATGTTCAGAGTCAATAAGTGCTACATTTGTCAAGATGGAATAGAAAGATCTTAGAGATCTAGATGTCGAATGTCAACGGTATGAAGTTTAACTAGGAAGGGGGCGCATCTAGCGATCGAGGCAGACGAAGCGCTAGAAAGAAACACGGAAGCATAATTCTGTGCGCATGCGCATATGGGCAATTCCTGTCCCAGTTCACTCTTTCATTTACCTCTGTGATAAGTTTACAGTTCAACAAGATGAGTTACCCTTACGGTGGAGGGTACGGAGGCGGTTACCCTGGGGCAGGGGGTTACCCTCAGCAACAACCAATGCCAGTAAGTGGATTTTGATATCACAGACAACCTGACAGGCTGGAAAGACCAAATAATACGAGCATTTTTTTATTTATCTTGAAGTTGAAATCAGTGTTAACTAGTTGTTCACCAGTTATTGAGCAATCCTGATCGGTCTATAAATAATACACTAAATCCCAAAGTGACTCAGTGTCAGGGGGTTATGAAGTTATGGAGGCATTTTAACGCCGCCCCACTCTGACTGATTGAGAGAGAGAGAGAGAGAGAGAGAGAGAGAGAAACGGCTACAGCTGGTACATGTACTACTGTAGCAACAGTGTGTAGTATGATGTATTTTACATTTAATAATTGATACATCTGTGGTGTGTAGCCCTCTGTTTATCTGTAGTATACTAAATAACTTGTTCTGCGCTATTTTTGGATGATTTACCTTATGACCTGATACTAATGGTGCCCAGATCTGCATAAACAATTGCTCATATTTATAAATGCCTACAGATACAGTACAGTAGCATATCCTGTAGATCTACCCATGTAAATCATCACCAAAATTTACATGTTTGATGAGAAGAAATCTGCAACCACCCATTAATCATCTCAGCCATATGGTCATGCTTTACATCACTGGCAGTAAGAAGATGAAAGTGTATTTAGTTTTTCACTTCACTAAAATAGTCCCAGGTATCTTGATTTACCTCCCACTCAAACAAACATGTTTTTTTCTGAGGTTGTTTTCTTGCTGCTTACCAAACTAAAATTCTGAATTTTTTTGTTACTTACACGGCTGGTAGCAATTTACCACACTAGTACTGTTGTGTAGTATAGAAAATACAAGTATAGTATACCAGTAGAGGCCCATATGTACTTATCATAGTACGGAGATATAGGTACTTATCATCCCAGACCTTAGTACCAATCATATTGATTGTTATCGTGGATTATTTGGAGAAAATAGTCTGAAATAGCATATTTTTATTTCAGTTGTGAGATGGATAGTACAAAAATTAAGGGTATCTTATGAAAAAAATATGATATATGAAAGCTGTGTCAGTCACCAAAATTATTGATTACATTATATATATATATATTTATATATATATATATATACTTCAATAATGTAATCAATAAATTTGGTGACTGACACAGCTTTCATATATCATATTTTTTGCTTACTATTAAACCAATACCATTCTAGGGTATGCCTACACCAGGAGGTCCCCCATACCCTGGGGGTGCCCCCTATCCAGGTGGGGGCGGGGCCCCTTACCCCTCTGGGGGGCCAAATCTCCCCTATGGAGTGCAGCCACCAGGGGGCATGCCAGGACAGCTGGGATTTGGTGTAAGTATTGCCATATAGAACCACTTCATGTGTGTACTGGGAAATGANTTGAATAGGAAGTCATATACTGGCAATCTAAATGTGACCTTAAAATTGACCTTTGACCTACTTTTCACCATGAACTGAACTTTGCAAATTTTGCTTCCCTTTTATCTCCAAAACTGGCAGAGATAGGTCCATAGTCTCTATTGAAGTTGAATAGGAAGTCATATACTGGCAATCTAAAAGTGACCTTAAAATTGACCTTTGACCTACTTTTCACCATGAACTGAACTTTGCATATTTTGCTTCTCCTTTATCTCCAAAACTGGCAGAGATAGGTCCATAGGTCCATAGTTACTATTGAACGTGAATAGGAAGTCATATACTGGCAATCTAAGTGTGACCTTGAAATTGACCTTTGACCTACTTATTATCATGAACCGAACTCTGCTAATTTCTTTTTCTTTTAACTCCAAACCTGGCAGAGATAGGCCCATAGTTACTATTGAAGTTGAATAGGAAGTCATATACTGGCAATTTACTGTGACCTTGGAATTGACCTTTGACCTACCTTACGATGAACTTAACTTTGATTGTACCATTTTTAGTTATATATATATTTTTTGCATATTTTGAAAATTCTTGTTGACTGAATTTTTACAGCTTGGCAAGCACAAGACTGGTGGCTGTGTTCCTTATTTTGTATATATGGGGGTCTATACGAATGTGCTTGCTCCAGCTGGTGGTACAATATTCGGAGGCGGTATCGCCTCTCTGATCCTCTAGTTAGTCTGATGTGAATCATCTATTTTTATCATCACTTTAAACATGTAATGATGATTATTCAAAGACATGAGAGAGATATTAATAGATATCACACTAATTTGCTATGTCTCTTGGCAATGAAATATGCTCAAGTATGTCTATAGCCAGGCAGCAGCATGGTGTAAAATGATATAAAACTTGTTATACTTTCCTTAGAGTATAAAGATGCATTGTGTCATTTTGATTTATTGTTCATAAATTTAATGGATATTGAATATGGAAGGCTTTCAGCTGTATTGCTAGCTACATGTCACTGTCATCAAGTTGATATATTAGCCATGAGAGTGGATATGAGCAATTATGGTGCTTGTAGTTTTTGAGTACCCTGTTAGTTTTATGAAATGGTCCATATCTCATGAAATTACATGGTATTTGTAATAAAATTAAATTTTATCACTAATTCTTTACATCAGAGAAGTTACTTTACTTTTGTTCTGTTGTTCCTTTTCTCATTTTGGTAAAATACTGAAATGTGAAAATGTCTCTGCAGCTTGATAGATTTTGGAAAGCAGTCATACTTGCATTAAACCACAAAATTATTCATTATTGCTTGACAGCTATTGCACCAGTACCACATTATCCTGTTGTTGAGTAATTGCTTCCAGAAAAAATATTTTAGCTAAAGAAATTGTTCAAATTAAATTATTTTAAATCTTTTTTTTCTCCGACTCGGCGTGTGATTTAGCCATGCATAAAACATAACATTTAGCTTAAATCTTCAAGATAATTGGTTGAAAGCAAAATACTAGGAGACATGAGGGTGAGCTGAGATCCTGATATACAGTGTTTTTATACAGTTTGTTTTATTCTACAGGAACAGGGAACTGTAAGAGACCACACCCCTTTCAACCCTGAAGATGACAGTGCTAAGTTGAGGAAAGCCATGAAAGGATTAGGTAAGTCGAGTACAAGTCTCTCACCCTGAATTTCACACATTAAGAACTAGAACTAACCTAAATCATCATTACTAGTAGTTGTATTTCCAGCCATTTTTTGATAACCAGAAAGTGAGTCACTGAGGAAATAGGTTAAAATCATAGTATGTGAGTGCCTGGAATTATATTCATCATCATACTGACTGCTACAGCTATGACCTTATTACAACAAATGAATAAATAAATAAGTAAACACTGTTAATTTTACATGTTTAATTGGAAAGAGGAAATTGGGCTGGTGAAATGACTGACAGTACAGTGTAGAAGTTTTCATATGTAGATGTGCAACATTCATAGCACCTAGGTAATCCAAATGCAAATTAGGTGATTAGTATTTTTTTTTTACAGTATGCTGCATTTTTACGGTATGTAGCATTTATGCCCAGTATGTTTGAATCCAAAGTTTTTATTTACCTGACTTATGCCAGATATAATCTTCTATTTCAGTTATTATCGGTTCAAAAATGTTCATTATCAGTTCAAAAATGTTCATTCTGAATCAAATTTGTTAAAATTTACAGGTACTGATGAGAGAGCCATCATTGACATTCTTGGATTTAGGACAAACGCACAACGCCAAAAATTGTTTCTGCAGTACAAAACTATGTATGGAAGGGTAAGTATATTCCATTTAAAGACAAGTATTGTCTTGTTGGATTTTGCATGATGGAATTGTCATGAGAGTCTTTTTTTTTTTTTTTACGCACATGGAACCCATTACCACAAGTCACAGCATATTAACCTAGCTGTGCTTCATGTCTCAGCACTAAACTATGGAGCCCCAGATGTGCTTCTGATGTGTACTGTATTTACTCAGTGAATTTAAATTAAATGAATGACTGAATGGATGATATTTTCTAAAGCAGTGTTCTGTGGATTATACCTGAAAAAGATGAATAAAAACAATTTAGAAAATGAGTTAAGAACAGGTAGCATGCTTTGTGAGAAACAAAAAGCGATTAAATTTGAATAATATCAATGAGAAAAAAATGAGAAGTTTGAAATTTATGGTTAATGACTGTTAGTACATTAATTCCCCTCTGGATAAAGATTGCATGATGTTTATAAAATTATGAATCAATGATGAATTTCCCCAAGGTCTGCTTGATCCTTGAATGGAAGATAGAAAGGTTCTTTTATAAAATTGTCTTACCACATTAGGCAGATTTCCATCCTTGAATATCATGCAACATCATATCTATTGCTTCTCTTATTTTAATTCATTGCAATGTGATACAAGTATTTTTCTTTATTTAATTACATGTACCACTAGGGAGACTTAAGGATGTTTCTTATTGAGACATTCAGTATCTTATTTAGCCATTAGATTTTTTAATTAGACTGTTAGGTTAAACAGTCTGGATAGTATGGGTATTTCTGTGTACATAATCTTCTTTTTATTGATGTCAAGGGAGCATACCTCTTAAACTATTTATATGTGTAGTTAAATTACATAGCTTATCCCATAGCTGACACTTTCAACAATAGGATAATTGCACATGTATTTTACTTACGCGCTTGCCTGTATTTTAAATCGCTTCGTGCATTCGACCTTTTGTTCAAAGTGCCAGTTGTGGGATAAGTCAGTTACAACTACTCGTCATCCACTGTATGCCATGCACAAGAGCCTTGTTGTAATTACACTATTGTATGTTGTGTACAGTGGACGAATTGTATAAGTGAATATGATGCTGCTAGCAGTATCTTCCACTTGTTGCAAACTGCTTGGTTATGTGGCATTTAAATCTATAATTAATTTATTGTATTAAGCAGTTTCCGTGCAATTTGTCCAGTTATTAGTTGAATCATTTAGGCACCATATATGACCTTCAACTTACAACTTCCTTCAGCTCTTACATTATTATTATTTGATTTCTGATGAAAACGTACAGTGTATTTTATTTATATATTTAGAATTATTTTTGCATCATTTAAGGATTTAATACAAGACTTGAAGAGTGAACTGAGTGGTAAATTTGAAGATTGTGTCCTGGCCCTCATGTTGCCTCCTGAGAAATACGATGCCTCGGAACTCAGGCGTGCAATGGCGGTAAGTGGCTGGCTCATCAATATGGAGGATGCTTAATTTATATAAAGTCTTGATATTTTATGTAATTTATTTAAATTAATTATCTGTTTCATTTGCAATTGTTATTTACTTGTTTTATTTATTTGTGAAATATAGTCAGACTGACAATTTGAACAAGATTTTGTCTTATTTTTAAATTTTTTGGAGTCACACCAATGAGTCTGTATTGAATTTGAACAAAGTTTATGTTAGTTTATTTAGAAATACACCAGGTAAATATATTTGTATGGTTACTCATTCAGTTGTAGCAACAATGCACTTTAGAGTAAAAACAGGAATGAAATTAATGAGTATGTCAAGTGAATTTTTTAATATGACACTGGTTTACAATACTAACGTAAATCTTATAAGCTTAATTTTTTTATGGCTTTCGATGAAGTAAAGTTATCAGTCATTATACATTAATGTGTGTATAGATTCATATTTTAGATTTTTTCATATTGCAGGGTTTAGGAACTGATGAAGATGCACTGATTGAAATTTTGTGCACAAGGAACAATCGTGAAATCCAGGCAATTAATGCGGCTTATAAACAAAGTAAGTTTGAAAACAAATTTGATATTTTGGTTTTCATTGAAACACTGACATGCATTTTTTGATACTTCACTTTTTCAAGTAAGAAGATTTTTAAATCATTTAAATGATCATTATTTAAGCATAATGCTATGTACTTTTAGTGTACCGGACCTCACTAGAACAAGATATCGCAGGGGACACATCTGGTCATTTTAAGAGGCTCATGGTTTCTATGGCAAATGTAAGTACAAGTGTGATTGTGTCAGCTGTGACAGTGTGTCAGCTGTGACAGTGTGTTGGATGTGGCAGTGTGTCAGCTGTGACAGTGTGTTGGATGTGACAGTGTCAGCTGTGACAGTGTGTTGGATGTGACAGTGTGTCAGCTGTACCAGTGTGTTGGATGTGGCAGTGTGTCAGCTGTGACAGTGTGTTGGATGTGACAGTGTGTCAGCTGTGACAGTGTGTTGGATGTGACAGTGTGTCAGCTTTGAGTTTTGAGCATACAGCTAGGAACCTTCTGTTTTAGGGGATTTCACTGCCCCCTTTTAATGCTGTATGAAACCGTACTGAATGTTTCCCTGTACAAATGTTTATGTTTGTTTTTCAGGGCCACCGAGATGAAAACCAAGCTCCTAATATGCAAAAAGCACAGCAAGATGCCAGGGTAGATCACAATATGATTCATATACTATTTGTTTGTTAAACTTTTTTAATGCACCAGTATGCAAATGAGCAAATCCTTGTTTTTTTTTTTTTTTTTATGTGGGAAGTCCAATAACGCTAAGATATGGCACATGTAGAGATTTAAAAATGTATGCACACATGCACACACATGTGCATGCATGCATATCTCTTTTTTGCTTAAACACATAATATAACATCATGCTTCTCCACCAGAGAGCAAAGGTCTGTCAAAAAAGCAGTTGATTATGCTGTGATAACATTAAATCTAAAACATTTGTATTAAGTATTGACAATTTATGTAATGCTGTTACAGAAACTGTATGATGCCGGAGAAAAGCGCTGGGGCACAGACGAGTCCATGTTTAATGCCATCTTGGCATCACAGAGCTTTCCACAGCTCAGGGCAGTGTTTGACGAGTACCAGAAGTTATCTAAGAACACTATTGAGAGAGTCATACAGAGTGAGATGTCTGGGGATCTGGCCAAGGGAATGCTGACAATAGGTAAAGAGAATGTTGTTGTTTTAGTCTTGATTTAATGTGATATTTTAATATCACAAATCTAAAAAGATTTGTTTGATTTATATTGTTTTACAGTTGCAGGATGTAGGCATGATATATATACATTATTATTACTGTTATTATTATGCTAAATGTATGTAGGTTCACAATGTGTGGTATAATACTCATATGTTATCTTTGAAATACTCTTTTGAATTCAACTTAGTTTTTGTCCATTTGATTATGCTGTATCACAAAGGGAATGGAGAGATAAAAGGCTCATGTTGACATTATGTTTCTAGAATTGAGGTTCAAAGCTCCTTATACAGCAGACAATTTTAAGATAATTGCTGTTATTTCATGTATTTCCAAATATTTGATGACCACTTCGTTAAATCCATTTAACTCACAGTTTGACCAACACATATTTGTTTTTACAGTGAAAGTGGTGAAGAACAAGGCCTCATATTTTGCTGAAAAAATGTATACTTCAATGAAGGTATGTGCAAACAGTCTTTGTTTGGAAGAATATATCTGTTGGAGTGTTGTTTAATGTGCAGACACTGAAGGTTTCAGTATGTATTCTGATAACCTGCAGCTGTTCATTTTTGTGACATTTTCACCATGACTGCCAAACCATAAATTTTGTTTTAATTTGACAGTATCTTGTATCTTGGCAACATGAATGAATAAACAACTCTATGTGCTCAAATGTCAGACAAGTAATTTATTAGTAGGATGCCGAAATATTGTCAGGTGCCTCAAGGGCACCTGTTTTCTGTAATTATGTTTATTATTTTCTTGTTTTCTCTTCCTAGGGCCTGGGTACAGATGATAAGACACTGATCCGTGTGGTAGTCACCAGGTGTGAAGTGGATATGGTCCAGATCAAAGAAGAATTTCAGAAGAAATATCACCAGAGTTTGGGAGCTTTTATAAGGGTGTGTACATGTGTTGGATTGCTACAGTTTTGCTTATGCAGGATATTATTTTATTCAATGACCCACATGTTATTTATAGAAAATGACAAATTTCAGCTTTTATTTGGTCTTGTGCCTGACTTAAACCTATTTGTACGCGTACTTAAAAAGGTTTGAAGAAATAGACATAATGATATCTGCAATGTTGTGAATGAAATTTTTACATCACAGTGTTGATTTTTATTTCAGGATGATACATCAGGAGACTACAAGCGAGTTCTGCTGGCATTGTGTGGAGAGAGATACTGATTGCCTTACCCCCTATGAATATGACACCCCCTGGGAATGTGACACCCCTAGGAATATGACACTCCTAGGAATATGACACTCTTATTCTAGTATCAGTAATATGTCAGGTCTGTGGATTGGAATAGTTTTTTTTGTTATATATCTCTTTTTATTATATAAAAGTAGTTGCCTTCAAAGATGGTGCGATTCTTGACTAGCATGCAACTGACTGCTGAAATATGATAATAGCATGTACATACTGAGCACATGCACACTTAATTGGATTCAGATCCAGAGCGGATCTTACCCAAAGCCCTGCTCCCCTCCTCATTTCAATCCAGCCCAACCCTGTAGCTTGTCTTATATATATGATCCAAATAATTTGATTGGATCTTATATGTAGTAATAGTGGAAGAGAGTTTTTAAAGACTTTCATTCCAACTTTGCCTCAGATATGAGCAATGCATCAGTTTATTGGGACAAAACAGTTATCATGCAAAGTAAAAGGTACTTTATGGATCTACATTTATGACAGATGCAAAGCAGAATCCTTATCACCCCTTTATAGTTATATTGATATTTTTGCTAATATACATGTAGCGGAATCTTCCATTGGTATATTGCAATATGTGTTTATGATATCTGTCAGTTTTTCAAATTCTCAGTTTATGGATCTGTTGAATAGTTTAATATGTAAATTTCATGTTTTCTGTCAATTTATGCGAAATGCTATTGTCTAGAAATTTATATGTCATATGTCTGTGAAATTTATTATAGATTAAGTTTGAGGAAGACTGATTCAAGTTCTTGTTGTAGATTAATTTTTTAACTGATACAGTATAAGTATCATTTACCTTTTACCCTTTTTGAATTCCTGGGTGTGTTTAGGGGCAGACAGTGTTATCATGTAACAAAACATTTGATTTGCAAAGAAACTGACAGTGTATTTTAAAACATTACTATTTTCATTTTTACATTAACTCTTATTAATCTGCATGATGTGAGGTTAAAATTAAATAATCCAGTAATGGTATTGAAAAAATATGATTCGGTAGATGACTGCACCTATTCTTTTCTGTGTCTTTTCTTGGGTCTTTAGTGAAAAAGTGGACGGTTGAATACAGAAATAATCACACTTTGATGTCAATATGATTGTAAAATTGTCAGATGATTTAAACCAGAGCTTGGAACCCAGTGCTAGTTTCTTTAATTGAGATGTCCTCTGATGCCCATGACAAGTGTGTACCTATGGAGATTTCATAGTGAAGAAAGTGGCTACATTGGTGGCAGTGGTTGGATCTGGAATATTTTAGAGACTCTGTCTAGCATGTACATTGGCTTTTATATATTTTTGAATTAAATGACAGCAGCAGTGATGTGATATACCCATAATAATGGGATGTAGACCCTGTTATTGTTATAAGCAACCAACCTAAGGTCTTTGCCTGTTATCTATGGTATATGCAGCTTATGCTGGGAAAATGCCAGCATATTAGTGAATGCCATCAATACCACTAACATTGTGATCATGACATTGCTATGCAGTGATAAAAAATAAACAACTTTAGAGTGCAATTTTATTCTAACATATTTATATTTTTCATAACTTCAGCTCTCACTATTAATATGCTGCACTTTGTACAGTAGAATATGGATGATTCTTTCATCTTTCTGCTTGTTATTTTTGTACCCCCTAAATAACTTTTTGTGTATAGATTAGTTTTCAGGTTTTTGCTAATTTTTCATGTAATGTGTTGAATTATATTTGACATGATGATGTCTTGATTATTGTACCCAAGATGATGTTGGATGTGGTTAGTTTGATGTTTTGTTGATTTGTCTTGTTTTTGAAATGTGTGTAAAAAATTTCTTAAGAATTACATCTCTTGTAAAAATGGCTAGTCAATTTTGGAGGTTGGAAGTCTGTTCCATATGAGAATTAATAAATTTAGAAATATTTATTTTAGATCTTTTGTCTTTATAATCACTTTAATTCATAACAAGAAAAGCTTATTTTAGACAATTTCTGCCAAACATAATACTAGTATGTTGGGTTGAACAGCAATTTGCTATCATTTAGCATTGTGATTGGGCTTTGTTTGGCAAAGGGGAAAATTAATTGGCAGAAAATGCTTCAAGAAAGTGATTTTGATCATGTTTTAGCTATTTTTTCCCTTGATGCCCAGTGTACTTCACTTCATGTCACGAATTCAATACACCGATATAGATTTCCGCATCTTAAAATATTGTATTTGTCTGGAGGATCTGGAATAAAAATTCAGTGTAATCTCCTGTCATTATGAGTCTTTAGGCTAAACAACCTAAAATTACAGTGTTTTTTCTACAAATAATTACTGGTTAAGATGTGGCCCAATTAGTCACGAAATTGCTTCATTTTTAATACTACATACCCCTCCATGACTTACAATCATTTTGTGCTGTACTAGTACTACCTTCTCTCTTTAATCTCACTCTAAATTTCAAGCATTAAGACAAAATTGATAAATATATTGTTTTATTACAGCAATATCAGAGAATATATGATACCACAGATTGTCAAACCAAAGAGATATACTGCAGTTAAATATAAAAAAGTATTGAGCAAAACAAAGCTACCAATATATATCATGAGACAAATGGTCAAGGAATTGCTGAAAGTTCTATTTCTTTTCTTAAGCTACATTTTGTGTTATTCTGACCCTCGAAGTACTACATTCTCAATCTACAGTATTCATGTGCTGGAGCCATTTCCATATTGAAAACATGCTACTTTGTCTTAAATTTTGGTCTAAAACACTTTATGGAAGACTTTGTATTGAGTGAGATTTAACAAGTGACATTTAAATAAGTGAAATGACCAGAATTCTTCATTTGACTTGTCTAATATAAGATTCAAACATAAATTCCACATGATTAAGCTATGACATATGAAATTATTCCCATTGCTAAAAGATGCTGCTGTTAAAAAATGAGATCTTTGAAAAACTGTTTAGTTTTGATAATTTCTTTTTTGGTCGTTTCTCAAAAGACCATATATTCTTGAGCAAAAAAGTTTTTTAGACAAAATGAAACTGACTCACTTCTTTGTAAATTTTTGAGCTTCAGATTTATGTTGACTCTTAAATTTTTGGTGTAAAATTTTAATAGTGAGCATGTTAACATGTTAGGCATGCATTGTACATCCAAACTAGAACTTTCTTCACATGGTTTCCCCTAATACTCTTTCACACACACGTTCATGCAGACAAACACACATACACACACATTCATGTAAATAAACCTACACGTCTGTGCACACACACACACACACACACACACACACACAATGCCAAGTCGTTTCTTTCAATAAAAAGACCCAATTGTTATCCACTACACTGGCAGTTATATAAAAAAATATTTAAAATCACAGTGTGCAATCTGAAATCGGGAATGTGCTATTAATTACAATCATTTGTATCTCAAACTAATTTTGATTAGGCTCAACAATGCAAAAGACTGTGCTTTGAGCAATTTTTAAAGAAATGCCTTAGCTGGCATGAAGCGGTGGGATTGAGCAAGTCAATTTCTTTCCTGTTTCAACATCTGTTATTCTTTCAGGATCCCTGCATAATCGTTTTGTGCTCTTCTTTTGTAGCAATTCTTCTTACATTACTTTTTTTGAAGACAGAGTTCCTAATAGTCTGGTAGTGAAGACCTGGAATAAGAAATCATCGATACAAAATAACAAGAACGCACATATACAATGTTATATACGTCCTTCATGTGTATTGAGCCAATACCCTGTACGGTCACTTTCAAGAACGATGCCAAAAGCACATCAAAAATTGAACGTAATTGTGGTAGTTTTGCTGGTATTGTCCCACAAAACAAATGCCTAGAACAAGCAGACGTTGAAAATGAAACCCAGACAATGAGATTGCCTTCTGTTTTTGTCGCACCTAGCGCATTCCTGTACAACTTACCTCGCGCCTTTTCTGCCTGCAGAACTTGTGCGACTATGGCTGCCTCGCTGGCTGCTAGAGGGTCTGGAATATGACGAGTCTTCCTGCTCTAATTCACCTGAAAATGAATTGATTAATTAACCAAAAAATGACAAAACGAAAAAGGATAAAAAGTATCACATAAAATAATCTTATTAGTGTTTTAACTTTTTTTAATCTTTAAAAACACCAAAAGCACTTAGCAAGGAATACGAATACATTGTGAAACGGAGACTTCACAAAATCGTCGGTCTCAAGTGTCATCAATATTTGACGTTGCTTTTTTAGAGCGACTTCACTGTAAATTTCATATCTGAAACTGCGGTGCTATCAGACCGATTTGAAATGCATAACAGGTCGGTAAAGATTCAGAAAAACTTTTCAAGTTGGGTAGTTATATCACGAAGTACAAAATTCAGACCTGTTGCTAACAGATATTATAGCATTGGTCTACCTCTAATATTATATTATGTTATATTGTTACCTCTACTGTGAGATCTGCCCAAAGGCCTGTCTGCGCTAGTGTCTGGTCTGCCCGAGTCCACCCGACCATAGTTGCTCTCCGACTGTTCAGAATAACCGTCCTTTTCAGTGGACCGTTCCGACGACTGAGACAGTCTAAGAGGCCGAGAGCGACCCGAATGCATCTGGAGAAGAAACACGCACGAATAGATAACTAAATAATTATAAATCGATACCTGGAATCTCGTAACCTGAGTGAGTACATATGTCCTTTGTCGACAGTTATTTCTTTCAGTTGTAGAATATATTATATATACATGTATCAGAGACACGATCGGATAGGCAAATAAATAAAAAAAATAAAACAGATAAAAATGAAAAAATAAAAATAAACTAATAATAATAATAATAATAATAAAGATAAATAAATCAATAAGAAATAAGTTTCAGGGGCTTAATCCATCCAACCATAAATAAACGATAAATAAACAAAATCTTGTCGTATTAAGACTTACCTGACTACCATATCCACTAGAATATAAAGGCGTGGCTGCTGGCACCATGGGTCTCCGCGTCCTCCGTATCGAGGCTGATGACCGCGTTCTGGTAGGTGATCTGTACACGTTCATAACCATCACATCATCCGGGTCCTGATCTATGGGATCGTTTGGACCAGGGTACCTGTGGAATAAAAATGAATTAATCAATAAACCATTAAATCAATAGATAATGAATAAATACTTTTGAAACTTGTCGCATTGTTGTCTTTATAATAATTGGTGAAAATGATTTTACTTGAAGGAGTCATTTTGCAGAATATGCGTTATTTACACATCACATTAACCTTGCTGGCATTTGTCACAGTTTGTTATCTTTTCCATGATTATTGTATTCAGTTTAACAGAAGTTACTTATAGCTCTGTCCAAGGCCAACTTGATGGCATTTTAATAAGCAATAGTCAGTGATTAGAAGGTATTTATTTGATGACTACAAGAAGATATGGACCTGTATGTAAATTATCTTTTTTATAATTCGACAGTGCGGGTACTCTACATTAATTATCTTCCTTCGGGGTAACCCGCTGAGTGATAAACTCTTCTGGGCCCCAAATCAATCTCGTTTATTTAGTGACATGAAATATTAATCTAACAAGTCAGATTGATTGAGCGACAGTGATCAATCAAGTATTTCTCTCACCATGGGTTTTGGAATAAGTGTGTATGCCTGTCTTCGCACCACTGACGGAATTCACCCAACTGAAAGAAAGAAAAATAATCCATGCAATTAATTTTTACTTTCAGCTGAGAGTATTTCACAGAATCGATGCACCTGCGACCTACTGCGCACCTACGATCGAATCAAGA